CAAACTGCCCACTTCAGAGCATAAAACTCTAATCTATGAGCAGGATAACGGGACTGAGCCCTCGACAGGGTCTTGCTCGCGAAGGCTCCTGGTCTGGGCTTCTTCTCTCCCTCCGGTATCTGACTCAAAACTGCACCTAACCCATCCATAGATGCGTCGGTTGACAAGAGGAATGGCCTCTTAAAGTCTGGATGTGCTAGAATAGCGGTGTCTGTGAGCGACTGTTTGATCTTTTCCACTGCAAGGTCACATTCCGCAGTCCAGTCTTCAGGGCTCAAACGTTTGGGTTTAGGAAAACTGGAGCGATCTTTCCCACCTTTTTTTCCTGATCTTCTGCCCAGCGGTCAGCTTAAACAGTGGTTTGGCTAATGCTGAAAGGCCCTCTATGAAGTGGGAATAATAGTTTGCCATCCCAAGGAAAGATCTGATCTTCATTGGTGATGGAGTCTTCCCATCTTCCTCCATTAAATCCACCACCCTGAACTCACTGATCGCAGATATCTTTGCTGGGTCAGTTGCGATACCCTTCTCGGATACAATATGACCTAGAAACTTTACAGTCTTCCTCATGAAATAACATTTCTTCTGGGACAATTTAAGGTTGTGCTCTCTTAGCCGAGAAAATACCATCTCAAGGCGGTCGAGTGACTCCTCCTCAGTCTTCCCAAACACCAGTAAGTCATCTAGGTAGCAAAGGAGAGACAGATAATTCTGGTCTCCAAATATCGCTGTCATCATTCGAGAGAACGTCGCAGGGCTGTTACATAATCCCTGAGCCATCCGGTTGTACTCATAGAGACCTACTGGCGTGGTACATGCTGTATACTTGCGATCCTCTTCATGGATTGGGATATTATAGAATCCAGATGTTAAATCCATGGTGCTGAAATAACAGTTATTTCCCAAGGATGCTAGAGCGTCAGCTTGGTGAGGCAGTGGATATGCGTCCTTCTCCGTTCTTTGGTTAAGCCACCTGAAGTCTGTGCATATCCGCAATTCTCCTGAGGGCTTCCAGACCAGGACTAGAGGTGAGGCCCACTCGCTATTGGACTTTCGGATGATACCACGTGCCTCCATTTCATCCAAGGTCTGCCTCAACGTGTGGTAGTGTGCCGGTGGAACCCTTCTATAAGGCAGTCGGAACGGTTTCTCATCTTTCAGGTGTATCCTGTGGACGATATTCTTGACTTCTCCACAGTCTAACTTGTCACGGGAGAATATGCTCTCATACCGTACAATGAGGTCTGCCAGTTTCCTTTTCCAGAAGTCATCCACTTCACAGGAATCGATATCAATCTGTGTCAGTCCTATCTCTCGTAACTCAGCTTCACAGTCTGTTGGCAACATCTTGTCTTCTTCATTAGGTTTGTGGACCTGAACAACATTTTGAAGGACCTCTCTTGATTCACAACTCATGTGCTTAATAAACTCCAACTCTTCAAGAGCAAGACATGGATGTACCTGAGCAATCTTTGCGTTCCGACGTAACACCACCGGTCGGTCCAACATGTTTATCACCTTTACAGGAATCCACTTATCAGCCCATAATGGACACACACTACGAGCAATCATGATGTTCCGCGGTGAAGATTTAGAAGTTGAGGAATCTACCATCACAGTACTCCCGACAGACAATGGAACTTCTTCTTTCAACCTTCCCCAGACTATATGTTCGTGTTGTGGCTCCAGTGTCACACACTGTCTTAACAATACAGTGCCAACTCTTTTCGGCATCCTGTCTCCGTGCCAACGGTCAACATTAGAGAGTAGACTGAGAAGAGGGTCATTACTGTTTCCTTTAACAGGCTGTGAGATTTTCTCCCAATACCACTTTGTATTCTTGACCTGCTGAGTCACGTGTCTTAAAACATTAGAGCCTACTATCATGTCATCCTCTTGACCTGGAACAACTAAAAAGTTCACAGTCATCTTGCATCCAAGCAAATCCACATTTAGCTCATATTCACATTTTGGCTTTGTTTGGTTACCTCCGCATCCAGTCAGCACTTTCTTTGTGGGTTTTCTCGACTTATCACAAATAAGACTGTGATCCTGAAGTATGAGCTCAGCTGATTCACTCAGGGTACAGGTTACAGATCCACTGTCTACAAGGGCTAAGAGTTCTACTTTTCCCTCGACTAATGCGGGTGCACGGAAAAGATCATCTTCATCATTCACTTTTGTATAGATTGACTCTGGAACGAAATGTGACCAACTATTCTCAAAGGTACTTGCTTCACCCTTATTGCTTATCTTTTGAGTCATACTGTCATCAATTTTGGTCTGAACATTAACAGAATTCTCTGGGGATTTTGGTTGGCTGTCACCCACACGGTTCCCCTCAAAGTGTGGGCTTTCTAGTTTAAAGGCCGCTCGGAATCAGAAGACATCCTGGTTGTTTCTCGCTTGACTGGTTTTCTTTTGGGGCATTCAAAACCTCTGTGTCCAGTCTCATAGCACCTGAAACACAATCCTTCTTTGAAACAGTGCATCTTTGTCGTGTGATCAAGGGCCTTACAAACTCCACAAGAAGCTGAATATGCAGTTGGCCCTCCAGACGAAGCTTTAACTTGGACTGCTTTTGGCTCTTGCCCCTTTTGTGAAATGAAAATCTGTTCTAATAGGGAGACCGCTCTACCAAGAAGATCTGGATCAAGACCACTGGACTGACTACTGGCAGAAGCTTGCTGCTGTGTCATACACCAAGCACCAGAGGGCTTTTCTTCAGCTTGTAATGTTCTCTCAACACTGGCTGACTGCTTATCTCTATGATGGCTGTCTATCAGCGCTTGAACCTCCCCAGCGGTCCAACTCTCCAGTGGTTTACTCCGCAAGGCCGTATACAATGCAGGTTCCGGGCAGTGCCTAACGAACATCATCGTAACTTCATGACCAGGGTCTTCTACTCTCTTTCCCCTCCTCTGTCAGCACTCGTCAGCGAGGTCTACAGCCTTATTAAGTCTGATCCAGTAATCTAACCCACTTTCTGATCGTCTGGGTAAGGTCTCGTAGAAATCCCTCAAAGGGGTAGTCGAGGAAATCGCATCCCCAAAGTGTTGTCTCAGAATAGAGAAGATAACATCTGGGTCTTTACTCAAATTAATCAGGGGGTTGTTACGTATGCTGGTCCTCACAACATCTTTAGCACGGCCCATCAGCCTATCAAGGATTTCCTGGCCTTGTTCCGACACATTGAATCCCTTCTTGTTCAAATATGTCTGCATTAACTCCTCCCATTCACCTACAGTGCATCTGTCAGTTTTGTCACCTCTGAATGTTGGAGGTTCTTTGATATCCTGATGCTTAATGACTAAGTTGAGCTTTGACCAGTCAGGTGGCTGAGCTGAAGACTGTTGGGCATTTTCTCTCTGGGTATTCTGCCCTGCAGATGACAAGCTAGCTGCAATCTGGTTACCTATTTCACTGCCTAACTGCTTCATTAGGTCTGCCATAGTCTGCCACTGGTTCGGTTGGTCACCTCCTACAGCACCCTGGGAGTCACTTTTTACACCTGACTGACTTGTGTTCTCAGTGGGTGGGTGCACTGGGGTAGCAATCATGTCATGCTCTAGCATACTATTCAATAATGCCCCCCGCCCCATCCCAGTTGAAACCCTTGGTAACCTTGGGACAACATTCACAGGGGTAACATTCAGATGGTCAGTATCTGCATCTTGCAATTCTTCGTGTGATCTGTTTGTGTGTGTAACTGTAACAGTCCATGTTTAAGTTTAACTGCTTATCTGCTCCCCAAGGTTCTTCGTAAAGGTGATGTCAGCAGAGAGTTCTCCCGGCGATCTGCGATGGCTGATCTCTTGAAATCCGGGTCACGGCACCAAATTTGTAGCGGATTTCACTCAGCACCACAAATGAATCGCCAACACCAGGCTCTTCAGGGGGATTCTGCAGTTTTATTAAAGACAGGACAGGAGTTAACATCACACTCTCACACTGTTCTGTAGTCTCTGGTCTCTGTCTCGCTCAAATCCAAAGCTGTTCTGAACAACAATCATCAATAAACATTTCTACAATGTCTCTTTTCTTTCATTTCTTTTCACAACATGCATTACAAATTACATAAAACACATTAAACACTCAGTCAGATAATTGATATAATAAATATGTATATATAATAAAATACTCTTATTTATATTTATATATATTTATATTACTTAATACTTTGCAAATATATGAAAATAGCTCTCAATCCAACATCACAGTAACATCCGATCGTATAGTGGTAATTATTTGTTACAATATGTCATACCTGCAGTTTTATTAAAGACAGGACAGGAGTTAACATCTCACTCTCACACTGTTCTGTAGTCTCTGGTCTCTGTGAGAAGTGCGAAAAGATAGAAAATAAAACCCTGCCCCCATTAACACCATAACTGCATCTGCCATCACTAGATCAATGACACAATTAACTACAAATACACATTTTTTCGACGAATAAAGACGATATACATTGATATGGATAACTGCATGATATTATAGAATCATAATCCACCCTTTTTAACTATATTTTAATATTTATACAACTATAGAAACCGACCGTTCAAAATAGCACGCGGGCGGCAATTTGAAACAACGCAATAAGGCCTCATTAACACAAAACTTGAATTATACACAAAAATAACGACATCCAAACATATTACATGACCTATCTAAGCAATTAAACATGTCATCCACTGGTATTGATCAAAATATCAACTTAATGTATTATATGTTGACACTTTACTTCGGAGCTCATTTACACCTACCTGTCTCGCTCAAATCCAAAGCTGTTCTGAACTTTGAGCGAGACGCGATTGGAAGACACAAGTGGAAATGACGTCACTTAGCTACAAAACTCGTTACATTATTTTAAAACAAAAAAACTAATTTATTTTCCATATTCTATACAGAAAATGAACAAAAATATATACAAAGAAACAAAAAAATATACAACAGAAATAAATTAAAAGTTTGCTGGAACGATCACAAAATTCAAACACTACAACAGCAACCTCTCAACCAAGAAGATGGTCTTTGACCGGTTCATGTTGCTTTCCCGACTGAAGGAGGAGGAGCAGATCCTAGTGACGGAGGTCAAGCAACACTGGCAATCACTGAAGGAAGCTGAATGTTCCTTGAGGGATCTCTCAACTCAAATTCAAAATAACAGTGAGTGGCCATAATAAAATTCAGTTAACCAAGTAGTTCACTTCAATTAGTTCAATTAAAAAAACATTTGCTTATAATTTACTCACCCCCATGTCATCCAAGATGTCCATGTCATTCTTTCTTCATTTAAAAAGAAATTAAGATTTTTGATGAAAACATTCCAGGATTTTTCTCCATATAATGGACTTCAATGGGGTCCAAACGGTTCAAGGTCCAAATGAGAGTTTCAGTGCAAACTGTTCAAAGGGCTTTAAACGACACCAGACGATGAATAAGGGTCTTATCAAGCGAAACGATCGCTCATTTAAAAAAATAAATAAAAAAGTTTTATAAGCTCAAATGCTCGCCTTGCTCTGTATTGTGATGAGCGTTCGTGACTCTCCTGTTCAAACTCGTTCATCAAAATGATAGAATCTTTTTTTTTTGAGTCATTTGGTTCATTCAACGAACGAAATGAATAATTTGATTTAAAATGATTTGTTCATTTTGATGAACATGTTCGAGCAGGGAAGTCACGAACTTGCATCACAATACAGAGCAAGGCGAGCATTTGTGCTAAAACTTAAACTTTTGTATTTATTTTTTAAATAAGCGATCGTTTCGCTTGATAAGACCCTTATTCATCATCTGGTGTCGTTTAAAGCCCTTTGAAGCTGCACTGAAACTCTCATTTGGACCTTGGACCTTGAACCAAAATCCTGGAATGTTTTCATCAAAAACCTTAATTTCTTTTCAACTTAAGAATGAAGGACATGGACATCTTGGATAACATGAGAGTGAGTAAATTAACAACAATTTTTTAAATTAAGTAATGCTTTAATTGCTGAAATTAAAACATTTAGGATTGATTTTATTTATCCTTAATATTATATATGTTTTCATTCCTTTTGTGTTTAGACAGTGACTTTGAGATATCAGAGGAGAGCTCCAATGGACTACTGTGCCTTCTAAAGAGGAAATTGGAAGACCTTCAGCTTCTGCAAAAAAATGCTAGGATGTTATACCGACAATGTGTTCTGGGACAGGCATCAGACAACATTCTGTTTGATAACATTTACAATGAAGAAACTGAGGCAGTAAACTCCAGCTCTGGTGAAACAAGCAGTAATGAGGACTAAACCTGAGCATGTAGAGTAGACAGATGCTGAAGAACTATTTTTATAAGCAAAAATGAAAATGTTTAAGCTTATATGAAACACTTCATATTAACGTACAATCTATTTAATATGTCTCTGGCCTAATGAAATTAGAATTAAGGTTCAGCAGTACAGGTTTTGACTATATTTTTGAATCTTTGAGCGTGTGTGTATTTACGACAGCATTATTATATTAGTACATTTGTTTGCAGTGTGTACTTTTATCTAACATTGACAGAAAGTGTGTGTGTGTGTGTGTGTGTGCGCGTGTACACTGCAACACACCCCACGCACACACCACACACACCCCACAAGCACACCCAACACCACACACCCCACCATGCACACCACACACCCCACATGCTCCACACACTCACATCACACACCCCACATGCACTCCCCACTCACAGACACCACAACACACACCAAAACACCGCAACACACCCACATGCACACACACCACACCCCACATGCATGCACACCACACACACTCATCACATACTACACACCCCACATGCACACCCAACACCACACACCCCGCACACTGCAACACCCCACACGCATGCTCGCACACCACACACTGCACAGGTCAAATAGACCTATATTCAGTCTGTCCAATGGTTGATGCAACACATTATCCCATCGGTCACAATTGTGACCGATCATAAAACTCACTTTTTCACACTCTTTTCCATGAAAATTTAAAAAAAAATTATGATTGATTCTTTCAAAGGGATACTAATGACACATGATTTGGATATTTTTGTGTCTGGGAAAAAATGGGGAATAAATGGGTTTAAGATTTGTTCATTTATTGTCTTAATTGTGACTTTCATTGTTTTGAAATTGAACAGGTGTAGTGAATTGGAAAAGACTCTCAGAGAGACACTGTCAAATGTACAGAAAGCCGTACACCATCTCTATTTGCAGTCGCCTACAATGCAACCAGCTTTACAAAGACTGTGGGGCTGGCTACCGGGGAAATGGACAACGGGGAGTGCTTTTGGGCTTTTACTCCTCAGATGACAACCCTGGCTACTGTAGCTGGGATTGCTTTTTGGATGATGGAGGTCTTGAACAGTGAAGTGTGTGTGTGTGTGTGCAATGTGTCTTTCATGTAACAATTCAGGTCACTTTTTTTGTAATTCAGGTGTGTTGTCAATATATATATATTCTTTAAACAATTCAATTAACTGGAAATTATTCTTCAGTATTTTACTGTGGTTGATTTGCACGTTATTTTGCTTTGAATACAAAATTCTAAATAATTACTTTTTTCATATTTGTATTTTTTTTTTTACAGTATGGTCCCTTGCAGTTATTGTGTTGTAAAAATTTAAGATTATTTGATTGTTGTTTTTTTTTTTTACATAAAAACAATTAAAACTGAATTGGGGAAATTATTCTTCATTATTTAACATTGGTTGTTTTGTACGTTATTTACCATTAAATAGAAAATTCTGAAATTATTTTTACTATAATATTATATTTAAAAGTCATAAACCGTAAAAGTTTAGTATACTGCTTTGATAATATTGTGTGTGAAGATTAGTGAGATCACGTATATGTGCTCGGTAAAAAAAAATATATAATGCATATGCGCTCGGTTTAAAAAAAAATTTAAAAAAAATATAAATATATACACATATATATGCGCTCGGTCGCAGTAGAGGAGATGTATATGCGCTCGGTCGCAAATGTAATAATACATTTTTTAGAAATGTTCTCACTTCGATCTGCTTCCCTTCACCATTCAAGAGAAAACATATCTTCGACAAATTCACCAGCAATTGTTTAGTGAAGATAAGAACCAGTTACCTTTCTTTTCCTATTTCACCGAAGGTAAAAGACGTTCACTTCAAAGTGATGAATGAGATTTATCCCATGTAACAACTTCTTGCATCAAAGATTTAATATGGATGTGAATGTTTGTACTTTCTGTAATTCTGATATTGAATCCGCAGAACATCTTTTCTTCTCTTGTAGTGTAACCCAGACCTTCTGGGATGCTTTCCAGTAGGCCTACTGGATCACGTATGATACACAAAATATTCAAAATTTAACATATGAATACATTAAATTTGGACTTCAAATTGAGAACAGAAAAACTGAGTTTGGAGTGAATAAACTGATTTTAATGGGCAAATATTTCATACATAAATGTCGATTTCTTAAAACATCCCCTGTTTTTAATGCCTTTCTAAATGATATAATTCTGTTTAAACAATCCCTGAAATGCTGTAAAACAAAAAAATCCCTAATTTTTCATGAATACTTATGCAAACTTATTTCCTAGTGTCTACTGCTGAGTCTCTTGGTTTCTTTCTTTTTTTTATTTATTTATTTATTTTTTCTTTTACAATGTTGTACTCCATGTTCAATTCATGTTGTAAGATTATCTGAATATGGTTGTGATGTGCCTTGTTGTATGTTTGATATAAGATTCAATTTAAAAATATATATATATATGCGCTCCGGCGCAGTGGAGGTGACGTACTTCCGCTTTTGAGTGGAGCTCCACTCGCCCCGTAGTCTGCAGCCAGCCCCTATACGCCTTATTCACGGCAGCGCCATCTTTGAATTTTAATGAGAATGAAAGCGAGGCTGTGAGGGATAGACTTGCATCTCTTCAATGGGCTGTACTGTTATTTAATGTGTTTTCGGATTGTTCTGCTCATGAAACACTGGAAAAATATCTTTCTAAGAAATGTCAGTTGACAAAAAACTCCCGACAATGTAAGCTGTGGAAAATTGTAAGTAATCTAGCCGCTTTATTCAGCTATTTACAGCGGATGTCATTGGAAACACAGTAAGTCTATCCCTCACAGCCTCACTTTCATACCTGTCATGGCGCTGCTCTGAATAAGGTGTATTGTCTGGTTCCGGGCATGATGGAAACATGCCCATACTGATTAGCGCTAATGCATTGCAGGTGCGAGAGGGAGAGCAGCGGCGCTCACACAGGCTTCCTGTTTCATAAGCCAAGATATAAAAGGGCATTCAGAGAGTGTTTGGGTGGTGTTCGGTGGGTTTGAAGTGTTTCAAGAGTCCAAAGGGTTGACAAAGTTAGACATTGCAGTGGGTTGACTCTGAGCAGTGCTGGATACAGGCTTCCTCGGGAAAATCGTTGGGGTGTGGAGATCGCCCATTTAAGTGCTGGATCAGAGTGATCGTCTGTGGGGAGACTGCTGGATTGAGCTATCGACTGGATCTGTGCTGTGGAAGGAGAGAGAAAAGATAAGTGAACTGATTTTCTTCTTATGAACATTTGAACCGCTTGAAGAGGATGCAGTAAATGTGGATCTGACTGTTGGAGGAGCTATGTGTTTCAGAGTATGTTGAGAAGGAATTGAAAGTGAAACCCCCGTAAAATTAGCGCAATAAACGGAGTGAGGCCTCTGATCAACCCTATCATGTGAGTGAATTGCGCTTTTGCCTTATTGATACACATTGATGGCTGTGGAATTGAAGTGAACACAAGTGTGATGTGTCTTTGCTGAGAAGTGGCCCCAAGCCATGCTTGCACGTTTGTGGAAAGTTAGGGTGATGCAGTGAACTGCATAGAGTACTTTGTACTGTGAAGATCCTTACCTGTTCTACTTACTGTTTGAGTCTAGAAGCATGCCCCAGACAGCAAACTGACATTGAATCAACGTGGAAACGACGTCTCTCATGACATTGAAACAACGTTGATTTGCTCATCGAATTAACGTTGAACCAACGTCAGACGCGGCATTCTTCAAAGCTAAATGAAATCGAAAATTGGTTTGCTTTCATAACGTTGAAACAATGCGTTGATTTCAAGTTGATTTTCCGTTAGTTTTGAAAGAATGACGCATCTGACGTTGGTTCAACGTTAATTCGATGAGCAAAACAATGTCAGATCAACGTTGTTTCGATGTCATATTTCCACGTTGATTCAATGTCAGTTTGCTATCTGGGGCAGCATTGCTGGTAAAGTAACCTTTTAACCCACTGTCTCCCTACTGTGAACGAAGAGAGTACTGTGTGCTGTGAAGATCCTTACCTGTTATACTTACTGCTCGAGTCTGGAAGCATACTGCACCGCTGGTGAAGTAACCTTTTAACCCACTGTCTCCCTACTGTGAACTCAAACATGCAGCATTGCTGATGAAGTAGCCTTTTAACCCATTGTCTTCCTGCTGTGAACTGAAGAGAGTACTGTGTACGGTGGAGTATCCTCACCTGTTATACTTACTGCTCGAGTCTGGAAGTCTGCAGCACCGCTGGGGAGAAGTAAGCCATTAATCCATTGTTTTATTAACTGTGCACTGACGAGAGTACTCTATACTGTGAAGAATCCTTACCTGATATACTTATTGCCTGAGTCTAGAAGTCTGCAGCACCGCTGGTGAACGGAGTCCCGAAATCGCCGTCCGAGAGACACGGTGACGGTCGATCCACGTCCGACCATAGCTGAAGGATGTCTAGGGGACAGTGAAGTCTATTCAATTGGCGCTCCTGGCTATACTGTTCAATAAAGATTGTTACTCCTTTGAAACTTATCTCTGTCTCCGTGGTCCTCTGTTGTGTGCCTGTGGTGTCGGCTCCTCACGGTGGTGACTCAGATAGAGGGGGGTGGTTGGCCCTCCGATTAACCCCCCCCCCCCCCCCCCCCCCCAGTGACATAAATATAGCGTTGATAAGATCACTATTGGATTACAGGAGCATAGCTTATGGATCGGCAGCAAAAACGTTATTAAAGAAGTTGGATGTGGTGCAAGCTCAAGCTCTAAGACTATGCTGTGGGGCTGTGAAAACAACTCCTGTGGCTGCTCTTCAGGTTGAGATAGGGGAAATGGTGTTGCACATTAGACGTAAGCAGTTAATGATGCACTACTGGATAAATTTACAAGGGCATTCTGGGGATCGACATCCTACAACTAAGATTCTTCTCCCATGTTGGGAGAGTGAAAGAGCTAAACGGGGATGCTTTGCATGGAGATGTGAGGAAATAGCTGGAGACATGACATTAAATCTATGAGGATATATCCCGACAGTGCCATTATCAATGACACCGCCTTGGGTGTTTCCTCCAGTGATGGTAGATTTATACTTCCTGGAAAAAGTACAGGGTTAAAAAGGATACCAATATAGCGGTACTGGTGGAAGATAGATTACAAACACGAGCAGCCGGTAACAAAAAGTAGTCGAAGGAGAACATCCTCGTCTCAGTTCTCGTGCATGCGCCCATAAGGAAGTAATAGAATAGTTGAATAAAGTCGTTATTTATGTTT